ACCTGGACCCAAGAGATGTGTGATCCCGCTGCATAGACACACGTTCTCACACACCTCTCATCCCGCCCCATCTTCCACTCTCCTCCTCTTCTTTTTCAGTTTGGCTGCGTGAGAACGTATCCACGTGCAAATCCCACCTCCAGCACGCCCTCTACCTTATTATTCCTCCTTTTTTTATCTTCTCGTCTCCCCAAAAAACCCACAATATTCTCAGAATGACTTGTTAATAATAAGAAAAACTATGAAAACTCAAAAATGGACTAATTCAAAGTTTTAGTTTCTGGTTGCTTTGTATATTTACTCATTAGTAACATATTGTTATGATGAGTGCACTTGATGCGTTCTCGTTTATTTGTACGACATGGAGTTGCTTATTTAGCTGAGAAAGACTGAAAAACATTAGCTGTTAGATTTTAACCAAGCAGAAAAAAGCAGAACTAAAGCACTTAAAGCAGCTTTATTACATCTAATGCTAGCTAGTCATGTCAACCCCGATCCCTGACGCGGCGTTCGAGTCCGTTAAACACACACCCTCTCTTGTCGTTTTTAAATGATGTTGCTTGTTTTCAGTTGCAGATATAAAAAATGCCTTACAGGTAAAAAATTGCATATCGCTTAGGATGAAAGCATCTGCTGCACTGGTTTGTTTGCTGAGCTGTTTAAATGTTTTTGGTGAAGACAGAACTATAGTTTACAACATTGGACGTGTGTTTACTAGTCGTACAAGTCCAATTAGAATATGTCACTCGGTTACATCCTGAGTTTAAAACGCGTTCATCCCAGCCTGTGCTGTAGATAAAAGCTATTTAAAAAGATTATAAATGTTAAATACACCTGAAGATCCTTCTGTGATGTCGATAGTTAGAGGTGACTTTCTCAGATGTTTGTCTTTTAGTGGTTTGAAAGCCACGCGATGACCTAAAGTGCTCCCTAATGCTCAAGTTTCTGAGCAGTAAGCTTGTCCCATGATCCATTTCACCCATTTTCCTTTCCTCGTCCTCCCACCACCTTCATTTTGTCTACCGCGCCCTCAATGAAGGTTCAAGCGGTGGACTTGAGCCCCAGCAATGCCAACGCCGTGCCCTCCCAGGTCTGTGAGGCCTGTTTTTTACCCAGCATGCAATGCAGATTGAAAGAAAAATAACAAACTGGAGTCATTTATCAGAGTGAGAAAGCAGTGACCCTATCCTGTCCTTATTCCCTCCCTGCCGTCGCCCCAGCAACAGCCACCAGGATGCAGCGAACCTGGCCTCTCCCAGGTTCATACACCCTTAATGGTATTGGTCTGTCAGTCGTTCTCTTTGCCCCGTGGGCTGGTTCGATGGTTGAAATTGCCCCGATACGATCACATGAAGTCACACACCAGACAGCTTTCCTGTAGTGATGCTGATGGGCGCTTTCATCCATTGTGACCTACGGTTTCAGCTGGGATTTTGGTTTATGGAGTTATTTTGGGCTGAAAACACTCAGGCCTTTGTTGGTTTGTTCACATCTGTGTTGGTGTCACGGTGCTTCTGAATGCCTTGTATTTGTGCACGTGGAACATCCTCGTTTCATTCGTGAGCAGTACAGAAATGTCTCTATTGGACCCATTTCCATCACAATTTGGGACTTGTTTTTCCTCCCACCAAGTGTTAAATTTGTTATTTATTCATGTATAATTTAAATTAGCATTATTTTGTTTCCTTTATAAATAGCTTTTTTTTTTTTTGCAATGCATTCATGACTTTTTTTTCCATTGATTGCCTTCCAGAGCGGACTGAGAGTGCATGGGGACACTATTTATGTGAGGCACAGTAATTTAATGTTGGAGGTTGGTACTGGCATCGCCTGATGGCTGAAAATAAGACCTACATGTTTCTGTGTACTCTGACGCCATCAGAACTACAACCGGACCGTACTGTCCAGGACTTCCTGCCCTCTCGCACTCTCAGGCTCTGCGTGCATGCCCGTGTGTTTTCTCATCTGTGGATGTTTGCTGTTGAAATCTACTCTCAGATTGCAGATTTTCAGCAAATCTCTCAAATATTTGTATGAAGATCTTTGGCTGTTGTCCTGATTCACACAGCAGCTATTTTGAACTATTCAGCAGGAATAAATTATAATATTACAGTGGGGCAAAAAAGTATTTAGTCATTGTGCAAGTTCTCCCACTTAAAATGATGACTGAGGTCAGTAATTTACATCATAGGTACACTTCAACTGTGAGAGACAGAATGTGAAAAAAAAAATCCATGAATTCACATGGCAGGATTTTTAAAGAATTTATTTGTAAATCAGGGTGGAAAATAAGTATTTGGTCCCTTCAAACAAGGAAAATCTCTGGCTCTCACAGACCTGTAACGTCTTCTTTAAGAAGCTTTTCTGTCCTCCACTCGTTACCTGTATTAATGGCACCTGTTTGAACACATTATCTGTACAAAAGACACCTGTCCACAGCCTCAAACAGTCAGACTCCAAACTCCACTATGGCCAAGACCAAAGAGCTTTCGAAGGACACCAGGAAAAGAATTGTAGACCTGCACCAGACTGGGAAGAGTGAATCTACAATACGCAAGCAGCTTGGTGTGAAAAAATCAACTGTGGGAGCAATTATCAGAAAATGGAAGACATACAAGACCACTGATAATCTCCCTCGATCTGGGGCTCCACGCAAGATCTCATCCCGTGGGGTCAAAATGATCATGAGAACGGTGAGCAAGAATCCCAGAACCACACGGGGGGACCTGGTGAATGACCTGCAGAGAGCTGGGACCACAGTAACAAAGGTCACCATCAGTAACACACTACAACGGCAGGGAATCAAATCCTGCAGTGCCAGACGTGTTCCGCTGCTGAAGCCAGTGCATGTCCAGGCCCGTCTGAAGTTTGCCAGAGAGCACATGGATGATACAGCAGAGGATTGGGAGAATGTCATGTGGTCAGATGAAACCAAAGTAGAACTTTTTGGTATAAACTCAACTCGTCGTGTTTGGAGGAAGAAGAATACTGAGTTGCATCCCAAGAACACCATACCTACTGTGAAGCATGGGGGTGGGAACATCATGCTTTGGGGCTGTTTTTCTGCTAAGGGGACAGGACGACTGATTCGTGTTAAGGACAGAATGAATGGGGCCATGTATCGTGAGATTCTGAGCCAAAACCTCCTTCCATCAGTGAGAGCTTTGAAGATGAAACGTGGCTGGGTCTTCCAACACGACAATGATCCCAAACACACCGCCCGGGCAACAAAGGAGTGGCTCCGTAAGAAGCATTTGAAAGTCCTGGAGTGGCCTAGCCAGTCTCCAGACCTCAACCCCATAGAAAATCTGTGGAGGGAGTTGAAAGTCTGTGTTGCTCGGCGACAGCCCCAAAACATCACTGCTCTCGAAGATCTGCATGGAGGAATGGGCCAAAATACCAGCTACTGTGTGTGCAAACCTGGTAAAGACCTATAGTAATGGTTTGACCTCTGTTATTGCCAACAAAGGTTATGTTACAAAGTATTGAGTTGAATTTTTGTTATTGGCCAAATACTTATTTTCCACCCTGATTTACAAATAAATTCTTTAAAAATCCTGCCATGTGAATTCATGGATTTTTTTTTCACATTCTGTCTCTCACAGTTGAAGTGTACCTATGATGAAAATTACTGACCTCTGTCATCATTTTAAGTGGGAGAACTTGCACAATCGGTGGCTGACTAAATACTTTTTTGCTCCACTGTATGTGCTTAAATGATTTAAATCAGGGAGGTCAAGAGGAGCATCAGTCTCATGTTGGTTCTTTAAATGGTTTTTAATACTGACCTGCACAACAGCTCAGGCCTAAAGTTCTGAACGGCTGCTTTGTGAGTGGGATGCCTGGTGTGTCGGCGTGACCTCGGTGCATGCTCTGTGCATGTGGAATGCTGTGGCGTGACTGTTTAGTCTTCGATTGGTTAGAAGGTTTGATCATTGCCGGGCAGCCATGTTTAACCTGACTAACTCAGCCTAACCTACACGAGGAGCTTCCTTCCTGCTTCCTGGTGATCGGTTGCTGTTTGGTTTGATAACGTACTAAAACAACAACACCTGTTTGTGCAAAGTGGGGCTGAGAGGGATCGACTGCCATCGCACCGAGAAGTCTACAAAAGGGTCAGAGGAGAAATTTCATCCTGATCAGCTCTATTAGCTGTGTTCAAAACCTGGTCAATGGCAGAAGGTTGAAAGGCTTCCAGCTCCATGTTGTGCATCTGCCCAACTTCTCCTGACATTACAGGAAAAACTCATTAAGACAGGAGGCCTCGTTTCGCTGAAGCCTGCCTAAACACACACAGGAAATCAGACACACTCGTCTGATGTGTTTAAAAAAAGGCTTCAGCGAGGCACAGCTTCCATCCTGTTTCCCTTCAGATTGACAGACTAATGTTCCTGTGAACCTTGTTCTCCCTCCCTCCTTTTGTCCCACCCTCTCCCCCTTTTACCCTCCTCCTTTCCTTCTTTTCTGTATTCTCATTCTTATGATTGCACCCCTGAACCTCTTCCTTATTCCATCCGTTTCTTTCATTTTTCTTTCTTTTCCTGCCTTCTGTTACATGCTTTCACCCCACCTCTCACGTCCTCCTCCTCCATTCTTACATCTTTACTTTCCACCTGCCTCTCCCTCCCCCCTCCCCATTAGGATCATGATAAGACCCAAGAGGAGGTTCTGAAACACCAAGCTAGCATTAGCCAGCTCAAACGCTCCTTTATGGAGGCGCCGCCTCCCTCTCCACCTCAGCCCAACCAGTGGGAGAAACGTCTCACCTCCTCTCCTGCTACAGCGACTCGTGTTCAGCAACAACATGTGGTACGTCTGAGTGGGTGGGTGCGTTTGCCTCCACGGGACGGTCTGTGGGGGGGGGGAATGGAAAGTTTGTGGAGGATTGATGAACTTTTACACCACTATGACAACATTTTGGTCACTTTTTGTCTGTTTCCTTCAATTTCAGTTTTCTCATTTTTCTTCACTTTTACGTTTGTGTTTTTATTTGATCAATAACTTCCACATCTCTTCCCTTTTTTATCAGGACAACTGCTCAGTTTTAGTTATAACAACAACAGTTTTATTCTGCCGCCTCTCTCCTAAACCCTCTGATCCAGCCTTAGAGTGGAGGACGTGTTTCTGCACGGCCCCGTGTCGATCTGCTGGTACTCGGGCTTCTCTTTAGTCGTCCTGCGTCTTTCCTCAGATCTGCTGTCATGTTTTTGCCGCGTCGTAGAGCCTTGAAGAGGAGATAGCGTCGGTGCTTTTCAGCACCGCACACGCTGAGGCTACCTGCAGTGCTCCCGATCCAACACTAGATGGTGCTACAACCACGTGCTCTGTCTGCAGCTCTGCTCTTTCCGCCGCCGAGGTGCTTCTTCTGCTACTGAGCATTCAGGATTCAAACGTGTTACGCCCATAAATTAGCCGCTGTGGGAGTAATCTGACACCTTTACTTAATTCGAGATGCTTGATGGATCCCTACCAGCTCATTCCTGCTCTGGATGCTGCATGATTGTTTGTTTTTCTGAGTGTAAACAGACCTTCTGCTTCTGTAAATTGTTTGTCATGAACATTATGGACGTGAAACAACTAACAGCTGTGAATGGCATGCACCTTTTGTAATCGTTTGTGAATTTGGCATCTCAGAGTTGAATGCAAATCTGTATATTTTGCATTATTTGCTTCCCAATGTCTTTAGAAAAAAGTGCAAGAGGCAGCGATAGAACATCCCATAATGTGTTTGTTTTTGCCGGCTTACTGGAGCTTTTTAAACGCGTCTCCCTGCACGGACACAATCATGGCGTGACGTTTCCTACGCGGTCTAATCAGAACTGCTGCTGAGTTCAACCCCATCTGCTGTGAATGGAGGGTTTTTCTTTGTGTTTATGGGATGTCGTCGTCGAAGCGTTTCGTTCCACTGCTGCAGCCGTCTTCCTCCTGTGAGAACATGAGAACGGTCCAGAAGGATGCTGACCTGTCCTCATTCTGTGATAACAAGCGTCCCAGTGTTGATAACTGCTAACAATGATGTCACTGTCTGTGTGCGATTGATGTTGTCATGGTAACTTCTCTGTCACGCAGGTCAGCGTGTCTCAGACAGAAGCAGCTTCAGCTGAAAACACGATCTCTGAAACCAAAGAGCCTGAGAAGGTGGTACTAACGTTCCCCTCCCGACTTCCTCCATGCCTTTGTTTGTTTTCCACCAAAAGCCTCTCCTCCGTCACCTCCGTCTGTGTTCTGTTCATCAGTTTTTCTGCCTTCCTACTTGGTCCTTCAACTTGATGTTCTGGTCCAGTCGTTAACTTGTTGTGTTGTTGACTTTGATTTAATCACTTAACCAGTTTATGTTCAATGATCACGTTATTCTTTTGTTTTTTGTTTTATTCTGTCCCCATGCGTTTGTTGTGGATGTGTGTGCACATCACTGTGTGTGTGTGTGTGTGCGTGCGTGTGTGTGTGTGTGTAGATGACCGAAATTGAAATAGAAGAAACTGTTGTTATCCAAGAGGTCTCCAAAGCAACCAAAGCTGGACTTGTCACAGTTCCACCCAGTCCTCCTCCTCCTCCTGCTGCTGCTGCGCCTCCTGCAGAGCAAGAGACGCAGCAGCAGGAGGTCAAAGTTCAAGAGGAAGTAGTGACAGTGGAGGAAACGCAGCAGAGGAAGCAGGAGAGCGTTTCGTCAGAGAGCGAGAGTGAGGAAGAGGCGGAATATCATCCGGATGTTCCCGTGTCGCTCTGTCAAACGCAAATACCAGAGGAGAAGGAAGAAGAAGAAGAAGAAGAAGAAGAAGAAGACGTTGAGCCAGAGAAGGAGGTGGAGGAGCAGGTTTCACCTCCAGTGGCACTCCCTGCTTTAGCGGAGGTCAGCCACCCTGAAGATGAAACCAGTCAAGAGGGAGTGTGCAGGAAAGAGGATGCAGATGAGAACAAAGAGCAGGAGCATGAGACGGAGGAGAGCACAGACGATGTGATGGTGACTCCCGACGAAGCTCCTGACAGTCCTCTCTTGTCTGAGGAGACTGAGAAGACAGCTCCCTCAGAGGAAAAGGAGCCTAGAGTGAATGGAGAAGCCTTGCTGGTTGAAGTGGACCCACGGCCACAGGTTATTTGTTGCTCTGAGGTAAATCCAGCTGCGGAGCCTCCCGGGGTTTCATCCCTCCTTCCAGCTGTAGAAACACACCCACTTTGTTTTCCCTGCTGCTTCTCTCAGCGCCGGTTTCCTTCCTGCTTGTGTGAAAAATTAAGCCCCGCGTACACCCTCACACTCATCTTCTGAAAACTCCTATAACTGACGTAAAACCAAGACAAAACCACGACTCGCCACCAGCGGTTCGGTGTGTTTGTGTTTATTTTATGTACACAAATCCAGTCTTCATTTATGTTCCACACCTTCATTCTTCCTACGTCACATTCTTCACATCAACATGGCTTTTATTAGTGTGTGGTGGCGTCTCCTGTTGTACGTCCTGCTGTGTCGTGAAGTAAATGGGGCCTAAGTGGGGTGATGTTTTTAGTCCATTTCTGCTTTGCATGCTGGTATTTAGCCACATTTGTCCTGTGTGTGTGTGTGTGTGTGTGTGTGTGTGTGTGTGTGTGTGTGTGTGTGTGTGTGTGTGTGTCCTCTCTCGGTGTTTGGCAACGATAATTCTCTTAGCTGCCAACCACAGGAAATGCCACCCACTCATCTGAATGTCACCTTGTTTACATTTCAGTAGCTGCTTTGTTTTCTTGTTGGTTTAGTTTCATTGGCTCATGGTTGTTGCATGTTTGTGCTCCTGTTGTTCTCTGAGTCGGCACCAAAGAACATATCGGGTTGCTGCTGTTTTTGTACAAAGTTGCATGATTTATTTTTCTGCATGAAACCGCTGTACTTTGCACTAAATCTCTGTCATGCTCAACCTTATGAATCCCTTCATTCCTGCAGAAGTTTGTGTAACATTTAATTCATTAACTCTCTGTCCTCCCTCCCCAGCCGCCGGTGGTAAAGACAGAAATGGTGACTATATCAGACACGTTTGCAGCCCAGAAAACTGAGATAGCTACAAAAGAAGTGCCCATCGTTCACACGGAAACCAAGACCATCACATACGAGGCTGCTCAGGTGCACTTAAGAGCCCAGCCAGCTGTTCTTTTTTCTTTCTTCTCTGCATGTTGTTGTAAAACTTTGTTGTTCGTGTTCCACGTACCAAAGTACTTCCCTCCTAGCAGCAGTGCACGGCAGCATCAGTCATTCTTTACCTGCAGGGAAGGAGTTCGTACAGAAGCTGATCGTTTGCTTTTGTCTGTTTGTTGCTAGCTGGATGGTAACGGTGACGGTGAGCCTGGGGTGTTGATGACCGCTCAGACAATCACCTCTGAGTCTTTGTGTACAACTACAACCACACACATCACCAAGGTACACAAATAACACACATCAGTCAGGGTTGTGACGTTATATAAACACCTTTAACTTAAATACAACAATGTACAAAATCAATCTAGACCAGGGGTCTGCAACCTGTGGTTCTGAAGCCTCAAGTGGCTCTTAATAAATTTGGCTACAAACTACAACAAAAAATAAACTCTTGTTTTTAATGTAGATTTATTAAAAACTTTTTTGGTTTAAGCAGTTTTTCGGTTTTTTCATAGAAAAATTGCATTGAGATTCCACATCAGAATAAAACTAAATGTACCACATTTAGACACATTTGTGTTTAAAGGGACGTTATGGAAGTCTGAATGCCAAAACATGTATAGAAATAATAAATGTCTTCTTCATACATTCTCCTGCAATGCCCTGGTCCTGTAGAATGAGCCCTGGCATTTTTACTGTGATTGCCTGTTTTTCTGTAAAATCACAGAAAAAGAGAGATGCTCGGGTCGAGCAGGCTGCTTCATGCGCGTTCACGCTCAGGCATAGCCCGTAGCATTTGCTATCCGTAGCTTTAGCAGCAGAGAGAGAGGCAGTGCCACTTTGTCGCTGTTCCTAATGCCTAGTGACAAAGCTAGCTACATTTCTGAGGACTCTTAGCTACTTTCTGTAGAACTTTCTTCTAGATATTTCCTGCAAATTAGCAACAAAAGCCATTTTCGCTCCGAACCGTTCTTTGGTTTGACGTTGTTTCAGCTGTCATCAAGGATATAAAAGTTACAGATACTGTGAATGTTACTAGAGTGTATCTCACCTTGTAAGATGTCTGACTCTCATGCAGAAGACCTGGGTTTGATTCTGGATGTGAACATAGTTTATTTAGAGTTTCTTTTTTACATTAATGGTATATTTTTTACAGTAAGATGCCCAAATTTTTATTTGAGACTCGCCGAACGGCATTGAATTCACAGATAAAAAAGATGTGGGTTCAACTTTCATTTTGGAACAATTTTTCAAGCAAGGGAAGGGAATGATCTGAGCATGCAGGAGGACTGACCCATCATAAACCTTTGTCGGCTGTGCTGAAGAGAAAGGTACAGAACCAAATTATTTAATTAATTAGCTGCGCGTTCTCCTGTCCTCTGTCCTCCGGGCCACACACACACACACATTCTTGTTTTTGCCCCTTGTGAGGCCCGCCGGTTTTTCTATGCTTTATGGGATTCACCCTTTCCAGTGCGTGCGCACGCACACACACACACACCCACACACAGGACTGTCACAGCTGTTATTTTTTAAGGAGTGTGCACGTACAGCATGCGCGTCTCGTGCACGAGCCTACTATTGAAGCTGCCGTTGCGCTTTTGGCCTGAGGGGGCAATCGCGAGCATAAAAATTCTAAAGTCCATAAAGTCCCTTTAATGTTACACTATTTTCCACAAATAGCTACATTCCCTAGAAAAAACGTTATACTCTGTTTACAAAGGGTTTTTTTTGTGTAATTTCAAAACCTTAAAAATAGAAACCAAATATTTTTTCCAAAGCTAACCACTTAGCCGTGTCTCATCAAATAAGAAGACGTTCCACTTATGAGAGTCGTCCCATCCGTTTTGTTTCAGACATTAAAAGGTGGGCTGTCAGAGACCAGGATTGAAAAACGCATCGTCATCACGGGTGACTGTGACATCGACCACGACCAGGTCAGTTTTAGATTTACCTGATGCTTCAGGTTCTCAGGTATTTTTATCATAACGAGGTGTGAGCGGCAAGGAAGCTTAGAGGCAAACCAATTGATCCAAACTCTTTCTGTGAAAACTCCACAAGATTTCTAATTAATTTGGCTTCAAACAGTAAAACCTTATAGAAATTATCTGGTTGTGAGGCTCTGATCTAGAATCCGGTGAAATGTCTGTCATGTTGCTTATAGTCTGAATTCAAACCTTTGGTTGGGAATGATGCTCAGATATCATCATTTTCACTCAGATTCACTCATCCAGGCTGGTATCTGTAGACTTCTCACCCTCACATAAGAAAAGTCATGTCCTCAGCTTTTCAGCTTCATTTTTCCTTTGCTTTGTCTGATTTTGTTGGATTATTTTGCATGCATTCATTGTCTGGTCTGTATAACAGCCTCACATATCCCTCAGACTAAAGCTTGGTTTATGCTTGACACGTTTACTTTCTGCTTGGTGATGCGGTTCATGGCTGGAACGCGCTTCACAACTCGCAGCGTTTATGGTGCATGCGGCTTGTCTCTGCGGTGAGCCAATATTCTCCCAAACTGTAGGGGGCAGCATGGAGCTCTACGGCATGCATCCAACACTGCACCATAGTAGAAGTAAAAATTACTGTTGCTTACAACATGGCATTCCAGCATTTTTAACAGCGTCCTCGTCTTTTCCGACAGTGCGAGCTATTTCTGTCCAAGAATTATTAACGACATGTTGATCACGGTGATCTCTGAGAGCTGATTCATACAAATGTCTGTATTTTCGAACATCTGCCATGCTAGTTTTTTCCAGTCTGCCATGTTTTTCCGCGTCCGACCGTCCGCGTGGTTAGAAAATTTCCTAGGTGCGCGGTGCGGAAAGTTTGGGCCGTTCGGAGGCGCGGTGGAGGGGCGTGGTTGATAAAATGACGCAATTTCGCCTCGCGGACCCGTCAAGCATAAAACAAGCTTCAGAAGATTAAATTAATTAGAACTGTTGCAGTCCAGCCAGAACCAGACACTGATGATTTTAATATATCTAAATGTCTTAATATTCAGCTTTAATAAGCACATGATTGGTTCACTGACGTTAAACAAGTGAGACCATAAATAAAAGTGTTTGTTCTATTAAAAATGGGAAACAAGCATGTTTTGCATGATCCCTTTTTTATTTAAGTTGCCTGTTTGTCCTTTTTTTGCTGGATTTACACAAAAACAACACAGCTAATGTCATCCCATGAAGCCATTTTACTCAACGCCTCCTCCTGGTGGGAAAAATGGTGGTAAATCCAGCATGCATGTGGTTTTTCTTTGTGCTTCTCCTTTCATTATTTTCCTTTTATTTACCTCCACCGTTTTCCCCACTTCTTTCCCTTCCACTGCCTGCCGTGCTCGGGACTGCCGCCATGTGGTGGCCCTGTGGTACAACAGGCTCTGGCACAGGCCATTAAGGAGGCCAAAGAGCAACATCCTGACATGTCTGTTACCAGAGTGGTTGTTCATAAAGAAACTGAGCTGGCTGAGGAGGAGGATTGACTGAACTCAGGTAATGATTATAATTAATTCATGATTATTATTATTATTATTATTATAAACTCCAAAAATAAGGTTTGGAAACATTGCAAACATTCCTCTTCATTTAATACCAACCAGTGTTGGTGGAAAGCCTGACTTATAATTTTTACTATCAAGTCAAAATGAAGGCATCATGCATCCATTAAACTAGCATGGAAACATGGCGACTGGCTGATCTCTGATCAGGCTACCAAATTTCCCGCAGTGATCATCCAGGGAGCCGATTGGAGGAATCTATCGACCATCAACTATAGTCAGAGCCCTTTGCCAATTTTTTTTTACAAGCTTTATATTTCATGCCATTAAATCAGCTTCCATTGCAACCATTGTTATAAGCTAATGGTGCGTTCGCTTTCTCTTCGGAAATTCTAACTTCCCAGTAGGAAAAATCAAATGATAAAGGACGGCAAAAGGAATGAAGATACACAGTAAATTTAGTTCACAGTAAAGATGTTTGCTTCAGTTTAATTATCAGCTTATAAAACTACAAGGACGATATTAAATAACATACAACTGTTTGTATTTTATCGTGATTTTTATCAAATATGGTTATATATTGAGAAAAATATATATTTAATTATAAAAGAGAATTAAAGTATTAAACACTCAAAAGTATCTAAAATTGGTACCGTTAAGTACCGGTATCGATTCCTAGGTACCGGGAATTAGTACCAAATCGATTCAAATGTCAAAGGTACCCATCCCTACTACCGACTGATCTCTGTCCCTTTCCCCAGCACTGAAGGGCCTACGGTGGCGTTTCTTCTCTCTTGACAACAAACGATCTTCATCATTCTACATGAACCGACTGCCAGAAGAGGAGCTGAAGAAAGGAAGGAGGAGGAGGAGGAGTTGTGGCTGAAGACGTCACTCTCTCGTCCCAGAAGGTCTTTCTCATGTCTTTGGTGCATTTCAGTACCTCACCGCAAAAACCAAGAAAAATCATCCTAACAGAGGGAACAAAAACAAGAACCACTTTAACTAACATTTGTAGTATTTTGTATTAGTTTTTTTTTTTTTTTACATGTTTTACAATAAGCATCACTAAACTAAAACTGAAGACTTACTGATTACTTCACCTGTTTTCATGAAGTCTTGTTTTATTGGTATTTGAACCAGTTTTTGGTCCATTCCTTTAAAAAAGCATTTTGGCTCCTCCTTTCACTTTATTACACTTTTAATTGAAAAATCATAGAAGTCAATTTTTTAATTTAAAGTAAAATGAGAAAAACAAATAAGCACAACTAGCTCTTATAAACACCAAATAGAAACACGTTTCTCTTCATGATCACAGTTTTAATATCTATGGATGGAGCCGTAGCTGAAAAACGTCTATTTTTATTTTATTTTATTTTTTATTTTTTGTAAGTAAAATAATTCATTCATCCACATTCCTTTGAAAATGACCAGCAGCATATTTAGTTCAGCCCACATTTTATTCTAATAATAATAATTTTACATTTACAGCAGGTGGGAATCAATTCTTAATCCAGTTTAAGAAGCCAAATGTGATTCAATCTAAAGTTTTTACAACCATTGTTATTTTTTACACTGAAAACAAAACAGACTTGGAAGCTGGTGAAATAATGACTGTATAAAATAAAATGAAGGTTATAAAATAAGTGCAGCTCTTTGTTAAACACTAACCATTCCTACTGGGCACCAAGGGAACAAGGGAGAGTACCTGGAAAACTGGAGGATAATTGGGAGAGTGCCAACACAATGGGAATAATTAAAAATAATAATCTTAATTTGAATATTAATACAAGTTAGCCATAATTTGCTGAGGAGAGGAGAAAATTTTAATCCTTTCATTTAAATTATTCATATGTTTTCTCTTTTTTTTTGTGCTACAACTAGAGAAGGTACCAAAAAGAACTTGAAACCGGTTCTGACCCACACGCAGACTGATGCTAACTCCACAAACTGTTTGTTCCACTTCTGCTCTGTTCACGCACAGCTTCTTTTTTTTCCATATCTAAGTAGATAAAACACGAGCAAAGCTTGTTAGAAATGACGATTCCACATGTTTGACACGTTTGAACGTTTAGCTGGGATGCCGCCGTGCCGACTGGCATTAGCGTGTGTAGCTAGCAGCTTATCGTGGTGTTTTTATTTCTGACGTGTTGCTGGCTGTGTTTAACTGTTTTACTGCAACCAAATATTTTTGCTGCAGTCATTCTGTGTCTTTAAATGGTTCTTGTGCATGCCTGGACAACACACACACACACACACACACACACACACACACACACACACATACACACACACACACACATCAGTCACCGCACTAAAGGTGTAACTACCGCTACAAAAAGCAGCTTAAAGGGAAAAACAAACCACATTCCTCTGATTGGGCTTTTTAAATGTTGTTGTTTCAAGATGCGCCTTCTCATGAAACTTTTATCTAATGTCTATCTCCTGGAGTGGCTTATAGCGCACGCCAAACACTAAAACCATTTAGAAATTAAAAAATGAGAATTAAAATCAGGGTTTGACTTTACTATGCAGGCGAATGGCATTCTATGAGGGAGAAGCTTTAAACTTCTAATTCCCGTACAACACAGCAGAAAAACAATTTGTAAAAATACAGTTTGGGATATTTTTAGGCAGCTTTGGAAGTTTTTAAATCTCATGTTGTTTAATCTCATCAAACGTGTTTGTAGATTTTCTCATCGCTCAACTTTTCTCTGCTTCTGGTTGTTCGAAGACGGGATTTGTTTTACCACCTTATGCATATTTGTAATATTGTCACAGTTTTATGTTTTTTTTTTTTGTATTTGTGGGGGGGTGGGGGGTGGGGGGCAATGAAGGAACACCACTACAAGTAAATGTCTGCCACATCATTTAGCAGCAGGGTTGAGGTCTTCACCAATCACAGGAGCTGTGAGGCATCTAGGTGACTTTCCAAAATGTTTGCAATACTATCATTATGTTTTATAAAGTTATCCCCAAAACCAAAAAAATCAATGTTATTTTTTATTCAGAATTCTTAAAGAGCAAGTCACCCCCTGCAAGAAACTTACTCCACTCCCACTTCCTGTTTGAAAAATGCAACAAATGCTGTTGCCTAGCAGACCGAGAGAGCGGAGCCACTAACAAATACACACAAACAAGGTCACAACAGCATTTTGACATCATAATGTACCAGCTAACATCATAGTGTACCACTTAGCAAATAGCGATGGCAGATTGAAATTCAAATGTAGTAGTTTTTACCTGACGACGGCACAACACTGACGGTTTATTTAAATTTTTACTAAGATGCACTAAAGTGACAAATTATTATTTACACATATCCACAGCATGATTAGACTCTAATTTATATAGTTTACCAGCAAAAACAAAAAAAAGTAGACTTGGGGTGACTTGCTCTTTAAAGCAAGGTATAGCTTTATGCTAAAATGCTTCACGGTTGCTATGACAATTGATTTGAAGACAATTATCCAAACAGTGCAACAAATCTTAATCAAATAGTTTATTTGTAAAACTCAGGTTACGTTTTATAGTTGAGACCAAAATATTTTTGCATATCGTTTAACATAACGATGAAAATTCACCTTTCAAAAAGCACATTTTGGAAACTCTGCTAGCTGCCATGTTGCTTCCTGTGTGCTAACCCGGTGATCACTGGTAGTTTTTGTGTCTAGCAGTGTCTCCCGCTCACACACCTCCCTGCCCTTTGTAACACTGTTTAAATAAAGGATTGTTATACTCTGCAGTCTCTCCGGTCAAATCATTTTTAAAATGTGTTATTTATGAAATAACAACTATCTATAAAAACCTTTCCAGAAGAGATTTTTGACCCACAACAGTTACTATTTTGGAAACTATTGTTTAAAGTCGAGGTTTCTAAACTGGTCTGAAGGTTTATTTAAAAAGTGCCTGAAGAGGATTAGAAAAGTCGTCGCAGTAAACGTTTCCAGAGCTGGTTTTGTGCAGTTTGAGCCCACCTGGGTCTTTATCCTGTCAGGTGCATGAATGAGACCGTTCATTTTGTAATCGCTGCCGGTGGATGGCGCTTTTGTTCCACAGTAACCCAGAAAGATCATCCTCTGCTGTAAATAAAATAAAAAGACAGTAAGATAAGTAAAGAAAAATGTGCAACAACATACAAACTGCATGTAAAGTTTAGCCTTACACAATAAGTAATCCAGTCTTGATGGGAAAAGTGTCTATTACAGTTCAAATTTAGGAAAGTTAAATTGTTAACATATGAGTTGAAATAAACGTTTAACACATTTTATAAGCTTCAGAGTTCCATACCCTCCAGTGTCTGAAAGCTGGTACTACACTACACTTTTGTTCGTTTTAACCATTTAGAATGGAATTTTTTTTTTGCTTCCTTATTTTAATGAAGCTGAAAAAAAAATTCTTAGTCTTTCTTTTTGTCCTCTTGGGAATATCAAGGTTGAGAAGGAACTGGATTTAGTAGAAACACTTCCTCTAAATTCTTCCAAAGACTTGATGTTTTGTTGCCTTGAAATAATGGGGAATTTGCACCCTATGCTGTCACAAAGCAGAACAACGATCTGGTTTCAGCTTTTAGAAAAGATGGGGAGTTGCTGCCCTGCAAAGTCTGAAAGTTGGTACTGCAGATTAAGATTTTTTAAGACTACATAACGAGGCTAAAAAAGAACACAATCGCAGAAACCGCTTTCAGACACTAGACGGCAGCAACTCCCCATCTTCCCTTTTTTTCTAAATCAAATCAAAGATACTTTATTAATCCCAGAGGGAAATTAGAGTTTCAGTACACACAATTCAGAGACCAGACACACATGGGCAAGACACATGACAAGAATTGGTGACTGTGGTCATTCGCAACCTGAGTCGCGCTACCTTAATCAGAATCAGAAATCAGAAAAAGCTTTATTACCAGCGCTCCAGCGACCCAGAGCATAGGAACTTGACTCCGCAGCACAGCCTGACCAAGGTTACACACACACATGTAGACAGAACAGATACAGGCAGACCACGAGAGCAGCCATAACGGCGCACAATAATAGAAATAAGAGGGTTACATGAGGATTGGTTCAGGTGGAGGGAAAAAAAGGCACTTCAGAGTTACCCTCCAGCAGGAGGGCAGCTTTGCTCTGCAAAAAAAAACACCTCAAACATATATGCAATAGACTTCAGACAACACAACTTAAGTGTCCACTAGGTGGAGTGGTGGGTTGGGACTATCCCCACTTCAGTTCCTGCAGCCACGATAAGCAGCGCATATCACCTCAGTGTGGATGGGGGAGGAGCATTGAGGATTGGAGGGTTGCAGTGACCCTGAACGCTTAGGCGGCCTTCCCGCAGTCCCGCCCAGACTGGGATAGGAGACAGAGTTGAGTTGCCATAGCGACGGCACATTCCACATATCTTCTGAGGGGGGAGTTTTCGTTGGTGCCTTGCAGGCTCAAGGACGCCAGATTCCGATTAGAAATCGTTTTGGGGCCAGACAGAGATAATTTCCTCTCTGTCTTACAGTTTGCTGGTCCTCAACCTCTCAAATGCTGTTGGAAACCAGTGTTATTCTATTTTTTGTCAACAGAGGGTGCAAATTCCCCATTATTTCAAGGCAAGACAGTGGAAAAATTTAGATCATGGCTACTCAGATGTAAACACCTTTTTCTCTTCCTTAAAATTATTATTATTAAGAGGATAAATAGAAAGATTAAGGCTTTTTAAGGCAGCAGTAGCTCAGCAGGTAAGAAAGAAAGAAAAAACAACCTTTTGTATAGCACCTCTCAAGATAAAAATCGCGAGGTGCTTCACAAAAACAAACAAAAAAATTAAGTGTGAAAAAGATTTCAGAAATGATTAAAATATGTTTCCTTATTATTTCACTAAAAACACATTTTTAATTGCATTTGAATTTAATGATTTAATGGCTGCATGGAATCAAAGTGCCAAACCCTGATAGCTACAGACTTTCGGTCAGAAATTTGGTCACATGGAAAGTTCATCTTTTAAAGTAGTTTTTAGTTTTCTTTACCACCTAAGCGGGTGGAAATTCCAGCAGATGTTCACAAGTCCATGACCGTACGCATGTGTTACACAAGCAAGAAAGAACCAAAGGGTCGGGTTTAAAGCAAATTCACATTTCCAGGCTTTTCATATTTCAGCGTCTGTGCTGCATGCAGCTGCATCTCATCTCCACTTATTTATTACACAGAAACACTAATCACAGCAGCGTGGGTGGGTCTCAGTCTTTAGGGTCACATTTAGATTTAGCCCCAAAAACGTCACTTCCCTGAGCTTTGTAGTATTTTTACCTAGCGGCCAAATTTGGCTGTTTTTATTTTTAGAATGCAGCTTAGGATCCAGAAATTCAGCTGCAGGCGACGCGAGTTGTCACGATCTGCTCCAAACATACAATAGTACCACAGATCCCTATAGGCTGTGTGTGCATGCTCGTGCGTGTCTTCCAGCTGGTTTGTTTTTCTGCTAATGTAGCTAAAAAAATTAATATTTTGGGGATATTTTTGACATGGTTTGGAGGATTTGACATGAAAACTCGATAATCTACCCACCATGTCTGAGTTTCCAGCTGAGGAAGACGATCAGCTGAAGCAGCAGCAGACAGACAGACAGAAACATCAGCAATCCAAACAGCCAGAGAGGAAGAAACGTGTCTGTCTCATTTGAGAGTGCAGCAGTCCGTTGCAGAAACAAGGCCAGATCAGCCCAGGGGCCACTCAACACCTCCATACTCTAGAAGAGACAGAAGGACATTAAAGACAGATGTGACCGAGACCGTAGGCAACACCCCATAGCCTTTTCATCAAGCTTTAAAATGGAAACTCTTGTTTTCTTTTGAAACCCCCAGGATGACTCCAGCTGACTTGAACAGAACAGTAAATGAGATCAGTTCAACTTTATGTCCTCTACATTCATATTGTTTCCTATTAATTAGAGTAGAAGTTGACCGATATGGGGTTTCTGAGGCTGATACCAGTCTCAAGAAATCAGATCAACCAATGCAGATGGTTTGAATTGTTATGTCTGATTTGGACCACAATGACTTCAAATAAAACAAAAGTAATTTAAACAAAATCAGACGCTCAGAGAGAACTTTGTGATCTGAAAGAACGAGCGAGCTTTTGTGAGTAGCTTTTACATGTTAACGTTAACAGTTTTCTCAAGAAACATTTTCCTTTTGTGATTTTTATGCTCAGATAAAAACACGGTGACCAAGTTCGCGCACTCTACTTTTACACCGACGTGAGGGCTTTATTTAAAAATCCACCCACAGCTGTAATTTAGACAGACTCAAGTGACACCGAGCTGCGTTGTTGGCGGTGCTTTCATGACTAGGCTGCTTTTCCACACGTAAAATTACAGCCTGCACCTGTAAGTGCACTCAAGCTCTGAATTTAAATCCCACTCTTGTTCCTGAAGCATCAAAGTACCGATTTCCTCACGCCGAGTTCTGGTGACGTGAATCAATGGTGATAACAAAACATGAAGTAATGGTAGAATAGAAGAAGAAAGATACTGACTTGGTTTGAGGTTCAACAACGTTGTTTCGGATGTAAAATTGTCTCCGACAGTGATTCAGAAGAGAGGTCTTCATTCAGGAAAGCCAGTGTCTTCAAAAGACTTTAAACAGCATTTGGAATCTAAACAGCAGGCTTTAACAGTCAGATCGGTGCTAAACTGGACCTTTTGTTTATCTCCAGCTGTCCTTTACTCTGTCATTGGCAGAATCTACTGATAAAGTGAACTTTGTTCTCTTTCAACAGTCAAACCTTGTGATCAGTAAGAAGATTAGCTGCTGGCCCGGTCTTTCCGTGTGTTTGTATAACTGTGTAGTAGTTGTGTTACTGTGTGTATTATGACAAGTGGTTTTAAAACAGGAACATTTATCATCCCGTTGATCCTAAAAGTTTTTATTTATCTTTGACCTTTGTTCTCATTCAGCTACAAAGGAGAAGGCGTCTCTGGGGGCTGGAACATGAGTGAGAGGCCTGGCAGCCAATCAAGTGAAGGAAATAATTTAATGTGAAATGAGAGAAATTAGGGAATCAGAATCAGAATAAGCTTTATTGCCAGTGCTCCAGCGACCCAGAGCATAGGAACTTGACTCCGCAATACAACCTGACCAAGGTTAAACACACACACATGTAGACAAAGACAGGTACAGGCAGTCACGAGAGCAGCCAGAACGGCGCTCATTTCATTAGATGAAAAGGGTGTTACATGAGGATAATTGGGGTAAGGTAAAAAAAAGGCATAGCAGAGTTAGACCCAGCGGGGAGTAACTCTATTATACAAAAAAACTCCTCAACATAGAAGCACGAACATCACAGATACAAACATCAGAGACCGATGGGGAGGCGGGGTTGGGCGGGATCCTGAATCCTCCAAAGGGGCGTGTATTGGTAAGAATCTGGTGACGTGGTATACATCGCAATCAGGGCAGGGCATGTAAAGAGTGAGTGGGGGGGGGGTTTGGTCGTGGTGTGTTGCTACATGAGAGTCCGTTAAAGCGAGAGGGGGTACTGGAGCATTTTTCAGGCTTCCACTGGGCCTGTCAGTTGAGGGCTTCCATCACCGTTTTGACCCTCCTTAATTAAAATCCTGATAACAATACAGAGGAGGCGATACAATAAATTGCGATACTGAAAGCCAGGTGATATTAAGACTGAGTTTATTTAGAAAACTCAGGCCAGATGCTTCCGAGACACTTCCAGTGTAATCAGGAGATCCGTTCCGTCAGAAGGGAGACGGTAGAAACTGCCACCTAGCAGTCAGATTGCACCACACAAAAAAATATAGGACATGCTTCCATGTAAATTCTCAGTAAAACACTACTTTTAAATATAGTTTCTGTATCATAACATGAAACGTTGCAGTATTTCATTTCATCTTCTGACCAGGAAGGTGACGCAAGAATAGAACCGCAGGCTGAAGAACAAAAACTGTTTCTTGGGCGCATTCGTTCGTTTGAGCGATCATGACCCATTTTGTCTGAAAATGTTTGTAATTTATTTAGTTAAACAATTAAAAGAATCTCTCTTTTTTTGAAAACACACACCTTTTATTTCTTGATGAATCCGTCTTGATCTGAAATCGGAAACAGTTCCTTTAGAGGTACATTCAGGGGCGCCGTAAAGTGGTGAAAGATTAGGAAGATTCTAAGGGCCCACAGCTGTCAGGGGCCCAAAAAAGTTTCAAAGTTGAATAAAAAATAATAAGTTTAACAATCACAAGTACTTTTAAGACATTAAACAAACAGTCTTTTACTATTTATGAAATGTATATTTATTCAGAGGTCCCTACTTTATTTTGACTAAATATAACTGCTGAGGAGACAAAATTAGTCATTCTAGAAAATGAATTAGGGGTTGCACAAATTCCCTTCTAGGGCCACTAACGGCCCCTGGGCCGCACTTTGGATTTGCCTGATCTAAAACCTTCATACAGACCATAGGCAAAGCAATTTTAAGCCAAGTCAAGTTAGGTCAGTTTTGTTTTGCTGAATCAAATCAAGTACGTCAAGCCATGTGTTGTGTCAAGTCAGTCAAGTTCACAATTCTTACCATAAGTAAACTTTATTCTGTGTGGTGGATGGATCCTTAATTGTTACAGATGTTGTTGCTGAGACAGGTTTTAGGAATTCATCCATTTTCAGCAGCTTCTCCAGGGTTTTTAAACACCTCCTGTGAGATCCCAAGGTGTTCCTTCTCTCTTGAGTAACTTCCTGGATCTACTCCAGGAGGAGCTTGTTTCAGCCACTTGTTTTGGATCTCATTCATTTGGTCCCGATCCAAACCTCATCAAAACAGGTGAAGGAGAGACCAGTAGATCGTTAGATTTAGCTTTAGGCACAGCCGTCATTACTGAACACAAGACTCTAAATAAAACATGATGTCCTTGATGGTTGTCCGCCACCTGCAGGGAGGCGAGTCAAGGTTTGGTGCATCATACCAGGGGAGGCGGGGGGTGACTCTTAGATGAAAACCTCAGTATGCACTCCTGAAGTCTAAAAGGTGACATTGCATGTAGGGATGCAACGATACCCCTTTTTTCCAAACCGATACGATACCAATACTTGGATCTGAGTACTCGCCGATACCAATACTTCCACCACACAAAAAATGCAATGATTTGGAATACAGATTTTATTTTCTTCTCTGCTTTCAACAGGAAAAGACTGTGAGTTAGATAAAAAGTAAAATATATGAGTAGAAATAGTCACAAAACTAAAATATTAGGTGAACAGAAATGACAAGTTACAGTGAAGCCATTTTCAAGCAACTGCATTGGTATCGGTTAACTTTTATCAATACCAATACTGGTATCGTATCATATTGGCACCAATACTGATACCAGTATTGTCTTTGTTTTAATTAGACAACCGCATGCAATTAGGGATGCACCAATAACGATACCAGTATCAGTATCGTTATTGGTGCATCCCTAATTGCATGCGGTTGTCTAATTAAAAATAAAATGCAGATCTTGGGCCCGTTGTCTCCATGACCCAACCTTGGAGAAGCAGAATATATTAATAGATGGAGTTAGAAGCACACAAATCATTAATAATTATGTGTTATTTAACCACTTTTTAACAGTGTCCATCTTTTTTAATATTCACATCTGATGCTATTTTATATTGTTTACTCCTGCTTGGCAGAGCTCGATGTATTTTTCCTTCATGCAGTTTGATTCTCATCCCAGAATCGCTGCTCCAGCTGAGACTCACTTGAAAGCTCTTCTCTTATCTCCCAGGAAGCCAAGCGGGCTTCAGGTGATAAAATCACAGGGGTTATTTGGTTCTGGCTGGGCAGCCATGCAGGCCAATGGAGAGATAACATCACATAGATCAAAATAATTGATCAGCCTTGTTGTTTATCTGTTTGATCAGGAGATGATGAACTTACTTTTGGGAGACGGGTGTCTGTTTGTGGCTGGGTTACGTTTCAGAGACCTTGCTTCGTGTTTGCCCAAAGAATCAGTGTGTGTGTGTGTGTTTGTTCTCTCTTTGATATATCAGATCTAGTTTTACTGGGTTTCTGCTGACTTGTAAGAGGAAAAAGCGAAGCAGAAGCTTCTTTTGAAGTGGAGGACTTTCAATTTTTTAAGCGGTTTTAAGTATTTTTCCTCGTAATTGTTTCATGTTTTTGTCTTGGTTCATAAAAACGCCGTCATGTCAGAGAATAAAGGTAAACTGAGTAGGAAGCAGACGTGCTTTTCACTTATTAAAGGAGGCTGATGAAACATTTAGGAGGCTCATGGGGCGGTCATAACTGGACCTAAATGTTTCCTGTGGAGCGCTCTGCTGATTCTCGGGAAGAACCCGGGATTATTTTACAAACTTCCTTTCATCTAAAACAAAGGAAGAAAAGGATTCATGACTGCCAACGAGATCTTCAGGTCGTTATCAATGCTGTGAAAACCAATTCAGATTAAAGAGGATTAAATCTGAAGTTTCTTAGGGAAAAATTTGGGTTTTGGGACATTTGAGTTCTCATCACCACATTTTGCTTTGATTATAGCTTTTATCACAGCATTTTTTACTTTTTGCAGACCACATTTCTCTGGAAGTAAACAGAAAGGCTTTTTTAAAGGACAACACCCAGAGAAGTTATGACTTTGATTCACGGATCAAAGCTGATGTCTGATGTTTGTTTGGTGTTTCACGGGAGTAGAGTCGTGTATGATCATCCCTTTAAAAGCAATCCATTATGAGTTTATTAGTATGTCTTTTGCTTTTTCGTGACGTCTTAAATGTTTTACTCCATGCAAGAAGTTTGTTTTGTTTCCACAAGACAAGAAATGTTTACCTTCTCTTACTTATTAGCAGAGATATCCGTTATTATCGCTTAATATTAGCATTAAAATGTAATAGTTGTAGGTCTTTTAAAGATATAACATTTACATATTATGGCCATATTACACATCAAACTTCAGCTACTTCTCTCACTCAAAAAAAATAAAAAAAGACAGATCTGAGAGCTGTCTTATTCTTCACAGATAATGTTTCAAGTTTAAACGATAGGAAATATGGGATGTCAGTTACCTAAAAGGTGCATGAAGTAAGAATGACATCCTGTGGTCAAATGTGGGTACTGCAGCCCGTGTATGAAAACAACAATCTGCTCTCAGCCACTCCCCTCTCCCTTTCGTGATACACTTGCACTCCTGGCCGGGATTGCGCACTTGAAGGGTGCAAGCGTGGAAGTGCGAGTATTGGGATTGGGCCTATGTCTACGTCCCTCTGCTGTCAACCACTCAGCCAGCTAAGTTTCAATGTAACCTCCCTTCCAACATAATTGAGAAATTAGACTGTTTTGTTATTATTTCACTTTAAAATTCTTACTTATTGTTTCTTTCATTTATTATGAGGCGGGGACCCCCACATAGTTTATCGGTATCAGCTTCTATCAGCATTGGACAGAAGATGTCAGTAAAAAGCCAATATCTAACATCCCTACTCCTGTTCTGCTCTAAAGGACACATATTTAGCTTTTAAAGAGCAAGCATGCATCTGGGTTATTAAAATGTAAACATGTTTTCATCAGAAGATTAAAACCAAGCAATTTACAGATAAATGCAGATTTCTATATTTCTCCCACAAATAAATTACAAGCAGCTCTCTGGTTTTACTGCTTTCTTTGTTCTTCTGACACAAAGTCTTTTTTTTTTTTTTTTTTGCATGATTATTGTTTTCCCAGCTGCTTTCTTTGTGAGTGGCAAAGGTTATAAA